ATGATAGGACACCCATTTGTCCTGATTTGTCCTTTGTTCTAACCTTCTTTCAACCTACGTGCTTCCTTTAGTCCCAAAGTTCATGAATATCGGCTGTAGCCATACCTTTGGACTTAGTGTCAGCTAAATCAAACCCCTTCACAATTACTGAAGCAATCCGGTCCAGATTGTCAAGTTAAGAACAGAGATTTTGTTTGGTTTCGTCTTATCAGTCGGAATTCATTTGACTCGCCTGTAGTTCGTGCAGATTCATTGATAAGACTCCTCAGTATTTTGAGAAGAGCAAATATATGCCTGATTATCCCCCATGGCAACAAAGGAGCGACTCATGTTGCAGAGGGAGTTGTAGGCAGAGAATCAGGATGTCAGCCATGTTTTCAGGCTGGTGTCATTGTTAGAAATGTGCCTTTAGGGGTCTGTGAGCAACAGGTGTGAAAAAAAAAGCCTCAATCACATGGCTCAAGGTAACGAATTACATAGGCCTACAGCTGTTGAACACACATGTTGTCCTAAAAACGAATGATTGGTGGGTAGGTATTCGTTAGTCTGAATAGTCCAAATTTGCTTGGACCAATGTCACAAAACAACAAAATGTCAAGAACACTTTAATTAGACTGTTAATCACTTATAAAACATATATATATATATATATATATATGAAATAGTTTTAAGTAAAACATATAATTTAATATGACGAAATAAACGTATAATAGGTTATACAACAAAAGTTATCTTAAAAGATAACTTTATCCTATTTTGCAAAATTCACTTAAAATAAACATAAATGTGTGTCGCAATGGGTAAAAATCCACCCACTCTTCTTTTTTGAATCCCCATAAATCATTAGCAGTGTCTCAGAACAAGCATTTGAAGACTGTAGCTTTTGTGATGTCACAAATCCTTAGACCCCGCCCACGACTGCTGACATACTTAGCTCCGCCCCTCATTGTGCGTGTTTATCTACTCCCCAGAGCATTTAACAGCAGCATTCAAGTAAGAAATGTACTCTTATTATAGCTACTAAGTTACTCAATCAAGAGCAGAAAATGATTTTCTGGTTTTCTTTAGTTGAATGATATTTATTAACAGCTTACAGCAGTAGGTACTATATATTAGGCTGCTTTCACTTTTATAAACAGATCTAATATACACATGCGATTTCTTTACTTGCTGTTTACATACACAGATATAACCGACTGTGAATTTTATGTGAACTTTGAGCTTTTGATATGACTTTGTGTGCATTTGCCGCCCGTTCTCGTCCCAAGGCGTCGCCCAAGGCACATACTGACGCTTTTGACAATTCTTCTACATCCAATGCACATGGCACCATTTAGGGTCAATATGAGACGCAGCAGATATATATATATGGGCTAGAAGGCGCCTCCTAGTGGTCTAACCCTAAACCTACCCCAGAACTAAACCTACCCAGAACCGAACAAAGCTCTGTGCGTGTTATATTGACGCTAAAGGGTGCCATGAGCGTTGGATTCAGAAGAAATTTCAAAAGCGTCACCATATGATGCCCTAGGATGAGAATGCGTTGGCATTTAGAGAATTATGCACTCGTTCGATGCAATCATTTCACTTCAAAATTGCCATTTACAACATGGTATAATAGATGATCTATGAGGTATTTTGAGCTTAAACTTCACATACACGTTCTAGGGACACCTGAGACCTAAATCACATCTTGTAAAAAGGGAAAAAGTGTGAAAAGGGACAAAAGGTATTTATCTATTAAGTTGTGGTGCACATGATTTAAACCCATTCTTGTTTCTGTCAGGGTTCTGTCACTCTCTTCTTTTCATTCTTGGTTTGGTGACAGAGCTCTGACACTCCTATTGTCTTGTCATGGTGAGCGTGAGGATTCGAGTTTGCTTGTGGTGTGCGCTCATTTGTCCACATGAGTTGTTTTTTCTGTTCGGACACTGTTCGTGGCACTTCGGTCAAGTTTGGTTTCTGTTCTGTTTTCTTCAAATACTGAAGCCGGATTTGTTCATGGATTTGTTTTGCAGCTGCACAAACCCATAGACAGTAAAAGAAATGGACAGAGCGACCCCATTGATTTCAACGGAGAAGACTTGAAGCCCGATTTTTGCACTTCCTGTCTGATGTCTGAGCGACTGCGCAGGCTCAAATTGAGCGTGACAACAATCTAACAGTTGTAAATCTTCTAGTAGCTGTGCCAAGCCAAAACGTTGTTGAAATATTTTCTCCGTTGCTTTAATGGACTCTCTATCTATGAGCTTCTCCCATAGACAGTAAAAGGCTTCTCCCATGACTTTAAGCCTCCATGTCCTGCAAGCTTCTCCTCCTATCTATACGGTAATGTCTCTATTGTGCGACAGAAAGTTGCGTAGTGATGACACAATCATTAGCCTATTTTTCACAAAAATGGCATCTTGTCTGCTTGATTTGTCCTGCACCCTGAAATAGGGGTCCGGACTATCTTTGCTGAGGCTCCAGCCCCGTGGCCTGAGCCTCACTGTATAGCCTATGTTGCCTAGGGCCCTCGTGGTAGTGCCAAAGCCAGGGAATATGAAATGCATCTTATTGTGCTTGAAAATGATTTAAAATCACATTGAAATATGCACACAGGAATCAAAATGTATTTTTTTTAGAACAAGTTTCCAATTCCTCACCTTAAGTATCAGATTTATTCCCAATCTGATTGTATAACAGTGATTTTAAAATGTTTATTTAAAATGAAAAGGTACATTATAGGCCACAGTTCAGGATTAGGCTTTTAGTGGTCATAAAAATACAGGCAAACAAAGCAATAAACCAATCCTTAAGGGTGAGGAAAGAAACCATGGGTGGAACCAAAGCTCAAAGGTAACACAAATCCAATCTGAACAGCCATGTAGAGTTAGTCCTTGGAAAACAGTTCATAGATGTTCACAAATAGGAAAGTATAAAGATTTATTTGAAATATTTGAACATCAGCAGAGATTCAAGTAAGATGTAATGATCTTTGCACTATGGGGAAATTGTTAATGAAGTGCAGTAGATTAAAAAATGAACTATCAATAACAGTCATATATTTCTAACAGAAGTGTATATGAAAAAAAAATAAAATAATTAAATCCCACAATAAAACAAGACATCTGTCACTGTGTAATCCAAACAGTGGCACTGGTTCGGATCAATGCTAAACTAATCCCACATGTTGATGCATGATCTTTTGGAATAATGGAGTTGCTGTGTGTACGCATACGTTGAAGACGTGCAATCATAGGTTGAACTCTGGAATGTGTTAGAAACAGTTACAGGGTGTGACCTACTATGCAACCCTTGAACAGACAAAAACATATATTTAAAAGCCTCAATTGTATTTGGCTGCTTAGTGACCTTTTTGATATCAGAAACAACAAGACCAGGAGTGTGAATTGTGCTGCTATTGCTTTAAGTGTATCAGGTGTCTTAATAGAATATTAAATGCAGTTTGTCATTTTCATGCCCCATAACTCCAAATAAGTGTTTGAAGGACAGACTAATAATAGAGACAATTATATAATGGACAGGATGGAACAGTTGCCAAGAGTCAAGAATGAATGACACAGTGGAACAACAGCTTTAAGAAATATAGTCTACTCTTTTTATTGAATTTAGTTGTTTCTTTAAAGTGATGGTTCACCCAGTAATGAAAAATCTGTCATCACTTTCTCTTCCCATAGTCGTTTCATATGTGTATGACTTTCTTTCTTCTGCAGAACACAAACGGAAATATTTAGAATAATGTTGGTTACCATTACCTTGCATTGTATGAACAACAAGAACCTGAGACTAATAATTATAGCCAATTTTTTTTTATTCCACAGAAAGTCCGAAAAGCCTGAAGAGAACGAAAGTCATAGTTTTGAAATTGCATGAGGGGGAGTAAATACAGAACGTTTGGTGGCACTATCCCTTTAACAAAATTGTTATATCTGATCTGAATTGGTGCAACCCACATAGTTAGGTTAATTCAGTTATATTAAAAATATGCTACTAATTCATTTAAATCTGTGTGTGATGGAGGTGGAGCAATATATAATGTGATTCAAAGATCTATATTGATCATCCATGTTAATATAAAGTAGTGGTTATAGACAAGTAGACCCATATTGGGATTGTGTTGTTTATGCCAGTTCTTAAGTCAACATGAAACAGAAGTTTTGATAGTGTTTTCTTAGTGAATCTGCATCTCATACGAGAAAAAAATGTAGGATGGGAATTGATTTTGTCCATTGTGAATTGATTAGATCATTAGATCATTGTCATTTGCTATTGCTGCAATCACAAATGAGTGACAGAGAAGAGAAGTTGCAGCAAGACGGAGGCAAATTATTTTGATTAAAGGTAAAAGGTAAAATATGTATTTTTAATAAATACTGCAATATTCCATTGAAAATAAGAATTTGATTCCATTGTGACTTTACCATGGCAGACAAAACTGCTAGGCTAATGCACCAAGTAGCCTACCTTTGGCATCCCAATACTGTCTTTGCAATGAACAGATGTGCGATTCTCTTCAAAATACATCATTTCGGAAACAAAATATTAAGTATTTTACTTTGTGGCTTAATATTTTATCATAATATATATTCAATATATTATAATATTGTATTTCTTCCACAGAGAGAGAACACAAGCATGCGAGCGTCCCGCGTTCTCTGATTGGCCGAGTTGGCGTTCTCTTCAAGTTGTCAAAACTACAGAGCTGCGCCTCTTCTCATTGGACGAAAAGAGTTCCAAGCAGTGCCAGCAGGTAACCGCTCGGCCAATCAGAACTCTCCTTTCATGTTGTCCTAGAGACCGTGGCATTTCAGTCTACGACTTCCTTATATTGACATTTTAGCGTGTGTTATGGTTATGAGACATAACGTTCTAACCGAATTTCACTCGTTAGAAATATTTTGCTTCTAACGCGGAACTACAGCATCCTTCTTTTGAAACATTAGTTGTGTAGGCAATAAGTGTGTGTGTAGTGTTACGTGTGTGTGTGTGTGTGTGTATGAAATATTAGCCCAGCCCAGCAGCCCTTCCTATTTCCCCTCCCTTTCCTCAAACAGTCTCAGTCGGTTCGCCCGCAGCACTTGCGTTCTCTCGGCCGGGGATTCATATCAGAGATGGCTGCGAAAGTGTGTAGATCGGTCCTCCTCCTGTCCCGGAGCAGCGGAGCCGTAGCCTCTTCTGCTTTCCCCGCATTCGGTGTCTCCTCACAACGACAGCATCAGAGCACAAGAACGGTGAGTTCCTGGAATGGAAACCGAACATGGGTGCTGTTACTACCGCCGCTGCTGCTGGACAAGGGGAGGGTTGTGATGGGAGAGATAAGGGGGCTGGGTTCCTCTCTGGAGAGGATTAGATAAAAACAACCCGCCAAGAAGTGTTTTGGGACGTTGCAGTCCGCATTGAGTGTTGTCGTGCATTGCACAGTGATGATCAGCAGTGCTGCATCATTATCCAGTGCACTTTCAGTCTAGCTATACAATACGTCCTGTTTACTGGAGGCGTTTACACATGTGCAGTCAGTGTCTTGGCTTGGACTCATATTACATTTCAAGTTTGCATGCATGCTAGAGAACTGCACGCGAGCGACCGGATGCGCTTTTGGCGCATTGGCTCCGTGCAATCCGTTCCTGGATAACCTTGAAAGCAACAGTGGTCTCAACTTTAACGCTGACTGCACGGACAACTCTGAGACATCACGCGCTCTCCGTGATTGTTTACGTGGCATTGGACCGTTTCACTGATTTCAAGCATGCAACGTGTTCTTTCGAGCGTTGCCGAACTGGACGGACCGTATGAGTGTGTTTGATCCACTGCAGTGTCCGATTGTGTGTGTGTGTGTACAATGCGATCAGAGAGAGAGAGAGAGTGACAGTGCGGCAGGATTCCTGCGTTCTCACAGGACATTGCGTTTAAACGTTCTCAAGAAACGTTTTTAAAAGTTGAACTATTCTTAACTTGACGCCCGCCTAAAAACGCAACGTAACGTCCGTCTGACGCATGCGTAGTTAAAATAAAACAATAAAAAAAACGCAAGAATGCGTTCAGTGAGAACGCCCCCTGCTCGTCTGAGCACTGTCATTGTTGGGGGGGAAAGGATTAGACTTTCTCTCTCAGTCTCGGGCAAAGCATGTTCAGTTCAGTTCTTCGTTTAATTATGCCACTCCTCCTCTTTACACACCTCCCTTTCTTCCTGCGGGTGTTTCCCGTTTCCAGGGGCAAGCCTGTGGGTTTTCCTTTGAGCGAACTCCAGTGCGCATTGCTCAATGGCGCTCTAGCATGCTTTGGAAGCTCGTCAGCTGGAGAAAAGACATGCGGGCAGTCCCCGAGAGACCACCATCATAGCTTTTGATTCGTCCCACCTTGATGACTTTCTAGTAAAACGAGAAGAACGTGAAGAGGAAGGCCAGGAGTTCCCTATCATCTAGAAACTGTGGTGTTACCATGAGAATACAGCCTGATTTTGGACATTAACACATCCTAATATTACACATTTACTAAAAGTTCATATTTTTAAACAAAGTGCTGGGGTAGTTCCAGTTTTCTTGGCAATATTATAGTGGTAGTACCATGGTAATTAAAAACAAAAAGCAAAAAAAAAAAAAAAAAAAACCTTACAGTACAATTATAGATAATACTTTATACTTGCATACTTCATTTCCCACATTAGCAAAAACATGTTCTTCACTAAACCCTACCCTAAACCTAACCAATTGTGTTAACAAAGTACAAACCCAATTCCATAGAAGTTGGGACACTGTACAAATTGTGAATAAAAACAGAATGCAATGATGTGGAAGTTTCAAATTTCAATATTATATTTAGAATACAACATTGTTGCATCTTCCTCTTTATGATGTGCCAAATGTTTTCTATGGGTGAAAGATCTGGACTGCAGGCTGGCCATTTCAGTACCCGGATCCTTCTTCTACGCAGCCATGATGTTGTAATTGATGCAGTATGTGGTTTGGCATTGTCTTGTTGGAAAATACAAGGTCTTCCCTGAAAGAGACGATGTCTGGATGGGAGCATATGTTGTTCTAGAACTTGGATATACCTTTCAGCATTGATGGTGCCTTTCCAGATGTGTAAGAGGCCCATGCCACACGCACTCATGCAACCCCATACCATCAGAGATGCAGGCTTCTGAACTGAGCGCTGATAACAACTTGGGTTGTCCTTGTCCTCTTTAGTCCGGATGACGTGGCGTCCCAGTTTTCCAAAAAGAACTTCAAATTTTGATTCGTCTGACCACAGAACAGTTTTCCACTTTGCTAGAGTCCACTTTAAATGAGCCTTGGCCCAGAGAAAACGCCTGCGCTTCTGGTTCCCGTTTAGATATGGCTTCTTTTTTGACCTATAGAGCTTTAGCCGGCAACGGTGAATGGCACGGTGGATTGTGTTCACTGACAATGTTTTCTGGAAGTATTCTTGAGCCCATGTTGTGATTTCCATTACAGTAGCATTCCTGTGTGTGATGCAGTGCCGTCTAAGGGCCCGAAAATCACGGGCATTCAGTATGGTTTTCCGGCCTTGACCCTTATGCACAGAGATTGTTCCAGATTCTCTGAATCTTTGGATGATATTATGCACTGTTGATGATGATAACTTCAAACTCTTTGCAATTTTTCTCTGAGAAACTCCTTTCTGATATTGCTCCACTATTTTTTGCCTCAGCATTGGGGAAATTGGTGATCCTCTGCCCATCTTGACTTCTGAGAGACACTGCCACTCTGAGAGGCTCTTTTTATACCCAATCATGTTGCCAATTGACCTAATAAGTTGCAAATTGGTCCTCCAGCTGTTCCTTATATGTACATTTAACTTTTCTGGCCTCTTATTGCTACCTGTCCCAACTTTTTGGGAATTTGTAGCTCTCATGAAATCCAAAAGGAGCCACTATTTGGCATGGCAATTCAAAATGTCTCACTTTCATCATTTGATATGTCATCTATGTTGTATTCTAAATATAATATTGAAATTTGAAACTTCCACATCATTGCATTCTGTTTTTATTCACAATTTGTACAGTGTCCCAACTTTTATGGAAATGGGTTTGTAAACGTGATGAGAGAAATGCATTTGTAACAAATGTTTTATCATGACTCAGGTTTAAGGGGACTCGTACCCGAGTGCACCACTCAATGCCGAACCAGTTCAGCTTCCAAGCAAGTTTACTACATCGGAAAAGCCATACATATGGAGCTTATTATGTGATTTAAACATAGTTTACAGATAATGCAGGTCATGACAGCATTTTGCAAGGAACCTACATTTAGGCTATGTTTACACGGAAACGATCTGAAGAGAAAACGCAAAAGTGGCGTTGCATTATCACTTTTTATTCTGCGTTTAGACGAGCGTCATGGGTGGGAAATCCGCGTGCATATGGTGACGCAAAAGTGTGAAATTCGATGTAGTATGCACTCCAGACGGCTAGGTGGCAATGTGAAGCACTGCCACACAACAACACCAAGTCCGCGTGCCTGCGTACAACCTTCACTGTCAAGCAGACTTTTGCGTTTTTACCCTTTAAGCCTTGTTCACGCTACTTGATTTTAAAATGTCGGGCTGGACTGTGCGGTTCACACTACATGACTTGCTCTCGGTGAAATCAGGAGTGGTCAAGTTGTTTAGCTGTTCACACCACACAACACAACGTGACTGATCAACAACAGGAGGTAACGCACTACACAGAGATACAACCACGATCGGATGATAAGAGCAAATCATTTGTGACAACAACTCTGTCACCCAATGATTCTATCTTGTCTACAAACCACATTTTGTCACGAACAATCACGCAACAAAACTAACCAGAAATGAGCGAAATGACCAATACCCAGCGAAGAAGAGAACACAACACGCGAATATGGACGTCAGACAGAAACTAGTGCTGCACACTGTTTGCGCGATGATTTGCTCTGAGAAAAAAAAATGCAAAAAAGGAAAACATAAGATTTAACTGGTGTCCTCAACCCATGCCTTGCTATGATTGGCTGTAGCTCTTGACATCACTGAGGTTGAGTCGCGCAGCGGCTCTGGATATCTAGCATGCTAGATATTTTTCTGGGCTCGGCGACGCGTCTGCGAGCGTCTTTGTTGCGTTGTTGGCTCTTTCATACTAACAGATTGGCAAGCGTTCATCGCACGCTAATCCCCCACGATTTTCACGCGATAACACCCTGACCGGTCGGCGAGCTCAACGATTTGCAAATCGGGCTTAAATCGGGCTTAAAATCCTGTAGTGTGAACTTGGCTTTAGACGGGAACGCAACAGTGGAGCGTTTTTAAGATTGGTTTCACTTTTTCGCGTTTTTAAGCCCCAAAAACGCTGTCGCCGTCACGCCGTGTAAACGAAAGGCACATCCGAAAAAATATTTTTACTTTTTTTTGGCGACAGCATGCCAAATACGCATTAGGTTTTAATCTCTTTTAATTGTATGTAAGTGTGAATGCGTGAAATGTAGGTAGAGGCAGGTTTTTCCAATGAGTCGCGGTTGTGATTTTTAATCGTTCAAAACTACCACTGACAAAGTGGCATTCCTCCAAGTTCCTCATGTTACGCTGTGGATTAAGCAATCCCATCATGAATTTCTTTTGTTATTTGTTTATTTCTCTCTGGGCAGTAATATTTGCAGCTCTGCTGGCATTTATAGTGCGAACCAAGCCGTAGCCTCTTCCGGCGTTCGGCACAAACCTGTCAGGCTGAGACATGGCGGTGACAGGTCTCTGACAGAAAGGCCATGCTGCCCGAGGATCAAGTCTCAAAGCACTGTTTTATCATAAACATCCAAACCACAGCTGTGAGGTGTCTAACGAATTGCTACAGCACAACGTTTTCCCAAAGGACTGTGCAGTTCAGTAGGAATAATAAGGCTTTGAGTGTCTAAAAACACTTTGATCCTGGACACTAGCAGTGGAGAGTGCTAATGCTAAAAAACGTCCTGAAGCTGAAACGCCAGACGCAGTGTCAGATATTAATCCCGACTGTGATGTCAGATCCCTGAGATATGCACTTAACTCTTGTTAGCTCCCTATTGACTCAACTGTTCAATAAAAGCCTCCATTTTTGAATGTGGACAAGTACAGAGAATGCTGAAAAACAAAGTAGATCACTCCAGTGGCTCTCTGCCATGTCTTTTTAAGGATCATCAATCTTGTCCATGAATTGTTGGGTTTACTCTTGTTTCTTCAAGCATATGCGGAGGGTGAGCTGGCTCAGGGTAGAGGTGTG